GAATCAAAATCAGCTTTATTGGCCAAGTGTGTACACATAAAAGAATAAAACAGTGCCAGAAAAGGTTATGTTGACCTTATAATGTAGCAACAGCAACAAATAAATTTATTTTGTTTTTCATTTTCATCATTTTAATTTGCTGCTCTGTGAGGTCACGACAAAAAGGTTGGAAACACAGTTTTTCCAGTTTGCAAGAAGACAAATCTTGTGCCTGTCAACATGAAATATGATTGATAATCATGAATATTTTCACTAACTCAGTCAGTAATTTTAGTGTATCTGTGGGGAAAAAAAGCTGAAAAACATCCCTCTGATTTATTTGAAGTGTAAGCAAAGGCACCACATTCAAGAAAAGGATGGTTGTTACATTTACAGTTTACTAACTTAGAATTTGAACAAAACAATTTAATGTTTCTATGCTCAACATAATTAAATCATGTGGGATCTGCATGAAATTCAACAACTTAATTTGATCTTGTGTCGATGACATGATACAGTCTAGTAAGAATAGTTTATTGCCTGGACTTATGAAATTCAGAAGATCACACGAGATTTCAAACCACAGGAAAATCACTGGGGTTATAAGAGGAAGACAACTATGTGTATGCTGTTGCTATTTATTGTGGTTTAACATGTCAAGGACAAAAACGTAAAGAAAATTCTGCATCAAGCCTTGTAACCACAGATTTCCTACTTTTGGGAAGTCAGGCTTGACAGCTTGGTGGCGCGGTGGTTACTTCACAGTAAGAAGGTCCTGGGTTCAAGTCTGCAATCCAGCTAGTTAGCAGTGGGTTCCCTCTGGGTACTCTGGTTTCCTCCAACAGTTAAAAGTCATGCAGTTATTGGGGTTAGGTTAATTAGGTTTCAGAGCTCAGCACAGCACAGAAACAGCTTTAGTGAAGGTTACAAATGATGTTTTTCTCTGTATGTATTATTGTAGAAAGAGAGGATATTTTTCACTATAAAGCTCCTTGAGGTGACTGTTGTTGTGATTTGGCGCTGTACTGTATAAACAGAACTGAATTTAATTGAATCAGAGAATCAGAATCAGAAAGGGTTTTATTGCCAAATGTTGAGCGGGTTTACAACATTGGGAAATTGCTGCGGTGCTTCAGTGCAAACATACTGTTATAAATACTGTTATAAATTAAGCTTAAATAGACATGAAAATAAAAATGAGAATAAGAATTAAAAGTGCTAAGTAGATAGATAGATAGATATATACATGATATATACATGAGTGCAGGTGGTGATCAGTGCCAAGTGTGAATGTTATTCCTCACAGTTCAAAGGTTTTCATCTCTTACTTCCTTTAAACATACCAATATTTCCTTTTTTTGATAATGAGCTAGTTCAAGAAATAATGTCTGTTTTATTAAACATCCTTTACTCAGAAATAGCAGCTGATGTGAGGAGTTTAGTGTTTCCAAAAGCTGTCTGATTACTGAAATAATTCTGTTTCCTCTCCACTTTCCTCACAGCTCGTCTGACTGTGAGTCCCAGCAGCTCTCAGTTCTTTGAAGGAGACTTTGTGCTTCTGATCTGTGAGGAGGACGACAGCTCTGCTGGATGGACTCTGAGGAGAAACACAAGCAAACAGAGGACTCAGTGTGGAGATGGGTGGGCAAGATCAGCTAATTCTTCCTGTTATATCAGGAGCCTCTTGGCATTTGACAGTGGAGTTTACTGGTGTGAGTCCAGAGAGGGTCCCATCAGTAACATGGTTAACCTGACAGTCACTGGTAAGCTGAGTGTGTGGAGTTAGTGTTGATGAAGCTGTGTGTAAATGGATGAAATGCTGTAGTTTGTCTCTGTGTTGAGGTGGATCAGTGATCCTGCAGAGTCCTGTCCTCCCTGTGATGGAGGGAGATGACGTCACTCTGCTCTGTAAAACAAAGACCACTCCCTCCAACCTCCCAGCTGCTTTCTATAAAGATGGCTCCCTCATCAGGAAGCAGCCTACAGGTCACATGACCATCCAGCATGTTTCCAGGTCTGATGAAGGCCTCTACAAGTGTGACATCAGCGGTCATGGAGAGTCTCCATCCAGCTGGATCACTGTCACAGGTGAGGAGCTTCACTCTGATTTCACCTCTTATTTCATCCACATATTCATCTGAACAGGAGCGATTCTCTCTGCAGGTACACCTACAACCACAGCTACTGTGCGAGCCACCACGGAAACAGTGCCCCCTTCCTCAGCTCCACTCCCTGATTGCAGCTCCATCCAGCTTGCATTCAGAGTGGTCCTCCACCTGCTGGTGTTTTGTCCATACTTTATCTCCACTGTCCTCATGGTGTCTTTGTATCGATGCAGAACCAAAGGTAACACTGAATCATTGACTCATCACTCAGTGTGCTAATAATGAACTAGTCTCCCTGTGTAAACTAGTCTTTCTACATATTTACAGGAAATTCCCTTTGTGCTTCTCATAATGATGAGAATAATGATGTCATCACTGATGTCACCACAGAGCATCACCTCTGAATCGCCTCTTTTATGTCTCAGTGATTTCTGCAAACTTTATATCAGTAATAAATAAAGCTGTGCATTTATTGTCATTTCTACAAAGAGGTCTTCTGTCATCTGAGTGTTAGAGATGATTTATTTCTAGTAACTTTTGTTTTTCAAAGTAGGAGTCTAGAAAGAGTCTCACTGTGAAAGACTGAACAGCTGATTGTCTTTGTTTTAAAACTGACTTCACAGCTAAAACATATTTAAAAACAATATTACTGTAAAAGTAGAACAGTGAAAGTTTATCATCTCGTCCATATCTGATCACCAAACCTGCTGCCTTTCATCCACCCTCCACTGTGCTCCGCCTCAGTGGTCAACTTCACCTCCTCAGCTCTCCTGCTCAGACCTGAACCTGGATTTCATTCTTTATTTGCTCAGATCAGTTCTCCACACTGTGGACTCTCTGCTCAGGTCCACTTCCCAGCTGCTCTGCACAGCCAGTGTCACGGTCCTGGCTCGGTGACCCAATGTTTTGATGTTTGTATCATTATTGATCTTTATTTTCCTCATTGTTTAGTCTGTTAGTGTTTTGGTTTCTATTTTGGATTTCTAGTTCTTAGGTTTTGGTTCCTCTGCTTCTCATGTCACTCCTGTCCTTGTACTCCGTGTTCTCTTTGTTCAGTTTGTAGTCCGTGCCTCTGCTGTGGGTTCATGTTTTACTTTGATGAAGAAGCAGGCATTGGTGTGATTTGGTCTGTAAGGCAGGGTTAGGAGAGGTGTGCTCACATGTTGGTGCCATACTCTACATTCTTCAGCTGTAAATAAACACTGATTAGTGCATTGGAGAGCACAGCAAACATCTGGCACTTTAATTAAACTCGAATGACTGGAGGGCAAAGGACCCAGTATAGCTTTTGCCCTCGAGGTGGGCGTATCCCAGTAGCTCTAACATCACGTAAAATTTATGAATATCAGTGAGTCTGTGGGTGTGGGCAGGATTAAACACAAATATTGCAGGAGCTGGATTAGAAATACTCACACATAGGTTAGTTCAAAGTAGAGCCCTAAGTTAAATTTCTCTTTAGTTCTGATCTCACTGCTGAGCTGCACCACAAACTAAATTAATTAAACATTTCTATGTATCCTCTCCACTTCCTCCCAGCTCATCTGACTGTGAGTCCCAGCAGTTTGCAGTTCTTTAAAGGAATTACTGGCATTAATTGGCTGAGGTAATGCCAATGACATCGAAATGCAGCTGATTGAACTGAAAAGCTCGACTCTGTGGGGTCAAAGTTTGCAGATTTTGATTTGATTGTAATTTTTCCACTTTGTATAACCACATTTTGATGTTTGATTCACGACTAGCAGAAGTTTGAAGCAGATCGAGTCCAAAGTGACTTTTCGGTAGAGAGGGTTGAGTTGATTTAACTCCTCTCTGTATTAAAAATGATTGAAACCATCAAATAAGTAACATTTTAAAATGAAAAGAACCAGTACAGGCATGACACTTTGATTCCAGCTTCAGTTTTATTCAGGTGATATCCACAGGGCACTTTAACTTTATAGTAGAAACATTAGAATCACAAACTCCCAGATTTCTGATGAAATACATTTCATTTTTAAAATAGAATAAAAATAAATCCTACATTTCACTATTACTAATGAAGTCTGCAATAGAAATAAATATATTAAAAACTGTGTGCAATAACAAAGTTAAGAAGTGTGCACAGTGCTTAATGCTTAGAAACCTCTCTGATATAAACACGAGTGTTTTATCTGTTTAAAGTGAAGCAGCAGGTATTTCCCCTCCCCTATTTGTAGTTTATCATTAACAAGTAAAAGTAACAACTTTCTCTTTTCAAATGAATATGAAGACTTCCAGTAAAGCATGATTTTTGTGAACAGACAGTGAGTAACTAAAAGCACAACTTTGACTCTGGACATTTTTTTCCACTTAAAATAAATAAATAAATTAATTAATTAATTAATTAATGGATGTTTAAACATGAAACCTGAAAATCTTTGCGGCCACCTCAGATCAGCTGGAAAAAACTGAAACATTTCAAACAGACTCAAGTTCAACTGCAGCCTGATATGAACCCTGCATCTGTTGTTTTAAGTTTTCTGTACCTCAAAAAAACAACAACAACACCATCACCACCACCAACAAAACAACCAAAGACATTTTCAAAGGCAGCTCCGAAAACATCACCAACACCCCCACCACACACACCACCGCCATGAACTCCCTAAACAAAAACTTCATTCCAACAGATCCATCCTCTGTGTGTCCTCCTGTCTGACCTGCAGGTGAGAAACAGGTGTGAGGTGTCAGCTGTCAGGTAGGTGATGAGTGAAGAACAGAACAGAATCCATTTCCTCTTCAAACTGCTGTCAGACATTATCTACTGCACTCTGATCACATCACTCAGACCAGCTGCTTTCTACAAAGTCTCATCAACAACATCTTTAGAAACAAACATCAACAACCAGGAAGCAGCTTCACCTCTGATCACACACACACTCAACTCTACTCACTCACCTGGAGGATCAACAACACTCAGGTTGATGATGTTCCCCTGCTGCAGATCCACCCGGTTCTTAAACCCGATGACAGAGTCAAAGTGTCCAGCCCGGTACAAAACCACGTATTTATAGCCCAGGTCAGCTCTTGTCCACTCTACAGCTAGGATGGAGCGGTCATTTGGAGGCTGACATGGCAGAGTGACGACGGGTCCAGCGGTGATGATTTTGTGCTCTGAAAGACGAAACAACACAGAGGTTAGAGAATTTACAAAAGGTATGTTTATCTGGTACACTTCTAAAATCTGTAAGTACATTTTTGGTTAATAATGCAGCAAGATATTGTTGGCTCTCTCTGTCTGGACGCATTTATTTAAGGGTATAAACTCACACTGTCATTGTCATGTGGTTACCACACACACACACACGAAATAGATTCAGCCTCGCCACACTCGTCTATTTGACTCCTCATTTTCAGTGAGCCAGCAGATATCACACAAGTTACAGTACAAGTGCATAAGTGCTAACAATATCTCATTGTTTTACAAAAATCCCAAATTACTCACCCTCCTTCATGTTTCACACCCACCATGGGCCTCAATACCCAAATCCCAAGTCCTAGCGTTGCAGTCATCCTCCTGTTCGTTCTCCTTCCACTCTGGAGCACCACTTTTTTTTGCTTGATAAATCCATAGATTTTTTTTAAAAAAAACCTTCAAAATGAAAATATTTTTCTTCTTCTTAGTGTGTCCTTGATACTCCTTTTCCTCAGAAACTGGCTGAAAAGCTAATTTTTGCACAGTTGCACAGAATGAAGTGATATATTTTCAAAAAACTTTTCAAAAGTGCCTTTTTAATCAGTGGAGTGTAAACTCCCTAAGTAAATATTGCAGTTTGATATTTGGACATATCAGTGGAACTCCCGTGGCGCCTAGTTTACCGTAACTCTGTGAATAAGAGCATCCAGTGTGACGTAGAAGAGGCGTCCTTCCAACTTGTCGGGCGTGAGCGATTTAATACAGTATAACGCATCATATCTAATACACAACTCAGCTGATACTACAGCCGTTAAATGGAAGAGTCGCATTATCTCCATTCACGCCAATGGATCAGTCTTTTGTTGTTATAGCAATGGCAGACTGAGCACAAGAGAGAGGGTTTTATTATTGAGTTCAAAATTTTTCTTATGTACCTATTTTTAGTCATATCAACTTTAACAGCAGGAAATTAACTAAGTACATATTTATTTTCTCTCTTTTTTTGCCATATTTTTAAAGTAACCTATATTTTACAAAAGCATAATAAGACTGGAAATTCTGTTGTTGGTGTGTAAGCCCAGTGTTTTTAGGGGTCCCTATATGGCCACCCCTATGAAAATTTCTGGAGGCGCCCCTGCTTGCAAACATATTTGTGCCTGCCTTTTTTCAGCCAATTAAAACATCTTTACAGAATTAAAAAGAGGTTATATATTGGCCCACTTGAAAGGTATTTTTATGTCTATTAAAGTTTTTAGCAGAAATTGATAGCAGCTTCTCCCTTTTGACAGGAACATTGTTTGTGGCTCAATATGTTTGACAAGTAAGCACCGCAGGGAACGATCTGAAGTCTCCGTGTTTAAACTCACGACTCTTCCATTCAAAGGCTTCCAAACTTACGACCAACGCGCCATCTACGATGACGTGACCACAACTTTGAGATTTTGGAACATTTTTCCAACCAATAAAAGGCACCGAATACTCAATCACACATAGAGGTTTGCACAGTCAGCGGAGTGATTTGTTTTGTTCGCTTCGGCGCCGAGGCGAAATCTCACCGGCGAAAGTGGACGCGGTGGCGACGACAACGAGCATCAGAATCCAGCAGGGCCACGAAAACGTTAGAACAGCCATTTGCGCTTAACCTAAAACAGCAAAGAATGAGGAGGGAATAGACGCAGGATTAAAGTCACGGAGTCCAGTTAGTTTACGTTGCACAGTAGAGATTTACTCAAATATCCGTTTGTTTACCGTCGTTTTAAACTACGGCAGAAAATGATGTGACGTTGCTGTATCAGCTCGTACCGTGAACCAGTTAAAACGTTAGCGCTTTACAGATTATTAACGGTAACTAAACAGCGACGGTCACGTTCAATGTGTCAGTAAAAACAGAGCAGCCGGTGAACGTTTATCTTTTAAAGGTTTTCCGTCAGTTACTCACGAGCTCTCAGCCAGGTACCGCCAACACGACCACGGTGGAAACTACTCTGAATGAGCGCGCCGGTTCCGGTGAAGCTTCTTTACCGGCTCCAGAACTTTCTGGAGTTTTCCGGACCAGCGGAGGAGCCGAGACTGCTGCCAGATACATTAACCGACATTTGTTTATTCGTTTAGATTTTTATGTTGCGATTTTACATTAAAGTAAACATGGTTCGTTTAAATAGCTGATTGATGGCGCTCTTTTTTTCAATAAAAAAACTAATCACACGGAAATCATTCAGCCAATCTGTGGGCGGTTCCCGTTCATATAGGAAGTAAACAAACCGCTGTTTTTTTTTCTCTCTCTTCAAACCTTACTTATAAAACACGCCCCCTCCCCTATTTGTAGTTTATCGTTAACAGATACAGAGTGGAAAGAAATGATATAATTCGGATTGTCTACACTGGAAGGAACTACTTCCTCTTCCGTCTTTAATAGTCATGTGCGAAATATGGCTTTATAAATGTGTCGCTGCCCCTTGGTGCACACACTCACAACAATGGCTGTGTGTAAATGGAGTCATTGGCGGATGTACTTTACCTCCACTAACAGCCAAGACGCGGTTTGTGGTAAATGTGGCAAGATAGTGAGGTGTTGTGGTAACACCACTAAAATCGTCAAACACCTCAGAGTAAATCACATTGTTTATGTTTATGTTGAGATGAACTGAAGAGGAGGGGTGGACAGGGTCAGGTGCTGCTAGGGTGAGACAGACGTCTCTCGCGGAGTCCTTAAGTGCAGGCAAGGCGTTCAAAAAAGCTTTTTTGTTTCTATGTGATAATTCTGCATTATTAAGTGATAAGAACAAGTAACCTGACGTCCTGTAATCATTATGAGGTATCGGATCAGTATCGCCTGAATTTTATTTGGTATCCGATTGGAAAGGAAATCAGTGGTATTGCACATAACTACTAATCAGAAAGTGTCACGGACACACAAAAACACATGAAAATCCCACCAGGTTATCAGTTAGTGGTGATCACATCCCTGATTTATAACCATTTATGTTTCAGATACAATAAGAAGTGACTTTATAGCAGCTCATCTAAAGTGTGATTGCCAGTTTGATGTCACAGTTTATTTACGTTTTGACAGCAGGAGTAAAATCTGGCTCATTTCTCACAGGGAGACACAAGTAGTTTCTATTGATCTGCAAACCTATTATTAAAATCAATCCTTTCAATAATGTAGCTCAGATTCTTTTTTATTTATGATGAAAAAACTGCAAAACACACCCCTCTGAGCAACCACTGAGGTTCTGCTTTTTGTATTTGTAGAGTTTTGGGGGAAAAGGGAATGCTGACACCAAGTCAAACACAAGGAGGAAGAAGAGGAGAAGGAGGAAGGTTTTTGCGTTAGCTGATCTCAGAGCTGGTCTGATATCATTGAGCAGCAGGATGGAGGAAACGTCTCTGCTGTGTCTGCTCTGTAAGCTCACTCTGTGTTTTTCATGCCTCTGCTGTCTTGTTGAATGTGAAACTCTGAACTAACCTGAGTTTAATTTCTCTTTAGTTCTGATCTCACTGCTGAGCTGCACCACAAACCAAGGTCAGTAACCTTCTTCTGTCACACTGTAAACCTGACTCACTCTTCCAAGACACATTTAGTAAGAACCAGTTGCAGCTAACTGCAGACTAAATAATGTCAGTGTTATCTCATTTCTCCTGATAATCTAAATGATTTAATGTCCTACTTCAATCAAATATACCAACAAGTCACACTTTTTGACAATCAGTCTTGTTTAAGAAATTATTTCTGCTTCATTAAACATCCAGTACAAGGATTGCTGATGTGAGCAGTTCAGTCAATCTTGATGTATCTTCTTCCTCACAGCTCGTCTGACTGTGAGTCCCAGCAGCTCTCAGTTCTTTAGAGGAGACTTTGTGTCTCTGAGCTGTGAGGAGGACGACAGCTCTGCTGGATGGACTCTGAGGAGAAACACCAGCAAACAACAGAGGACTCAGTGTGGAGATGGGTGGGGAAGATTGGTTGGTTATTTCTGTAACATCACACTTTACCTATCAGACAGAGAGGGTCCCATCAGTAACATGGTTAACCTGACAGTCACTGGTAAGCTGAGTGTGTGGAGTTAGTGTTGATGAAGCTGTGTGTAAATGGATGAAATGCTGTAGTTTGTCTCTGTGTTGAGGTGGATCAGTGATCCTGCAGGGTCCTGTCCTCCCTGTGATGGAGGGAGATGACGTCACTCTGCTCTGTAAAACAAAGACCACTCGTTATTAATTGTAGATAAAAACCAAACATTAGTGCTCAGAGGAGGATGGCCAACATATTCTGTGTGTCTTCCAGGAATGGCACTATTTTATAATCAATAAAACAGTTTTGTCAATGTCTTACTGCATTTTGTATAAGTTCATACTCAAGTTGTAAAAAGCAAAACACTAAAACTATCCTATTACACTTGTATGCAAAAAATACACTGCACCCAAACTATTTCACAGTTCATTAATACTGATCTTTTTATTTAGCGAGGCTCCAAATGCTTTCAGTGAGAAATAACTACACAGGTCTCGCATGCCACAGCCACTGTGCAAAGGAAGTCAAACTCATGCCACATCCTGTTTTATTTTGATAAAATAAAATGTTTCCTTTTTACCTTTTTCTCTTTTCTTTTTTTTTATATTTTCCAATATCTGTAAATTCCTGATCATGTAAGTAAGACTGGACCTCTGAATCATTTTTCCATCTTCTCATCCTGAATCAGCACAAACAGGCTGTATCCCAATTCAGGGTCTGCAGCCTTAAAGGCCGCATTTTAAGGCCGATTACGTCACAGCGACACGACAAAGGCTGTCCCAATTCAAAGGCTGCTCGAAATGCAGCCCTCAGATGCGTCCTTCATTTCCCTGAATTTTAAGGATGTGGCGGTGTAGACTTCGTGGCCCAACATATCCCAGAATGCACAGCGCGGCGGTGGGTGTGGATAATTTTGCCGAAAAAAAACATCGGATGAGGGGCGCCCGAAGAGTAAACTTTAAGTAAGTACTGAATATTATGTCACTTATTTATGTGCAAATGTTTAATAACGAAGAACATTAAACATTACTGTTGGCCACATGTCGGCAAAGTTATGTGACATTAGTGACGTTTGTACTAACTTGGTTTTAAAGCCTTTACTTTAAAATATACGCCGTTCAATAGCTGAGCTTAATCTTACAGAGAATGATCAAAGCTCATGTAGAAACAAACAAACAAATGAACAAAAGATTTTCTCCTTCATTTCTGTCAAACAAAGCTGTATGACACGTTTCCAGCTGTTAGTATCATGGTTGCTAGGCAACCTGGGCAGCACACCGAAGGCTAGACCGTCCCATTTCACAAGCTTCGCACTTCCGGCCTTAGCGGTCTTTGAGTACACGGCCCTTGTGGACCGTTAAGGCTGCGTACTTTAAGGCTGCAGACCCTGAATTGGGATACAGCCACAGACTTTAAAAAGTCAGTGATGTTGTAAATGACCTTATTTCTCATGTAAACTCTGCTTCCATCTACTGACAATACTGATGTATTACAGCAGAACTGTGTTTTCACTCACTCTTGGACTATGGGACACATTTATTTGATAAAAAAAAAAAAAGACTCTTACAACCTTATATTTTGACACTAACTGGGACCACATCCCAAAAGCTGATTCTGCTCATCTAGATGTAGCGTTTTCAGTGGGGAAAACGTTTCGTCACTCATCCAAGTGACTTCTTCAGTCTCAGCTGACTGCAGGATTCCCCAACCTTATAAACAGTACATTTGCATAATGACTGAAACAAGCCCACTGAAGGAAGGAACAATGGGCTGGGAGGTCCTTTCCTTAATAATTAATATCAATTCTCATGACCATTAATCAACAACAGAATATTTTATTATTTTATTTTAGATTTTAAAAATATAACACAAAAACAAACAGGCTCAGATGTGTTACAGAAAAAAACAATTCAAACAAACATGCGCATCACAAAACACCACAGGATAGAATACTAAAAGCTGGAGTTGATGAGATATTACAAATCTGGGTCGAGTTTATCCATTGATGAAAGCCCATTGAACAAAGACCAGTGATCAATGGCCATGAGTTGAACTGAATGTTACTGATCTCTTCCTTGTTGATGCGTTTATAGTTTAACACTGAGACATTGAAATCAGGCGAGGAATTCCCCCTCTCGGTCATAACTAATGGATTGACTGGACTAACACAGACTCCAAGTTCAGTGTGTTTATTTACAGTGAAGTAACAACAGAAGGATTTTTTTTTTCCGGTTCAATTCAATTTATTTATACAGCGCCAAATCACAACAACAGTCACCTCAAGGCGCTTTATATTGTAAGGTAGACCCTACAATAATACATACAGAGAAAACCCAACAATCATATGACCCCCTATGAGCAAGCACTTTGGCAACAGCGGGAAGGAAAAACTCCCTTTTAACCCTCCGGCAGAACCAGGCTCAGGGAGGGGCGGCCATCTGCTGCGACCGGTTGGGGTGAGAGAAGGAAGACAGGATAAAGACATGCTGTGGAAGAGAGACAGAGATTAATAACAGATATGATTCGATGCAGAGAGGTCTGTTAATACATAGTGAGTGAGAAAGGCGACTGGAAAGGAAAAACTCAATGCATCATGGGAATCCCCCGGCAGCCTACGTCTTTTGCTGCATAACTAAGGGAGGATTCAGGGTCACCTGGTCCAGCCCTAACTATATGCTTTAGCAAAAAGGAAAGTTTTAAGCCTAATCTTAAAAGTAGAAATAAATTCCAGTTAGTGAATCCAAAGCTTCAGTTCAGGTAGGTCCACAGAATCTCTCTCCACAGGAATTCTCTCTCTCTCCCAATTTCCTGCACAGAGAACAAGAAGAGGTAAGACAAGGTCAATGAGCCAAAGGTTCAGACTGAAAGAGCCAACTTTCCTAACTGTTTGAGTCTAATAATCAAGCTTCTGATGAAATCCCTCCTCCATCTTAAGTTGTGGGCAGCTGATCAGAGCTTTACCAGTATGTGAGTTAATGAACCCAGGTGTGCAGAGCTGAAGCACGAGAAGCAGAGGAAGAACCTGCCCTTTGAACACAGGGTGTGGTTAATTTAGTCACACTCTCTATGAGCCAGGAGGATGGGAGGGCCATTACACAGCCTCTTAATATGCTGGTTAGATAAGGTAGAGTGCAACGTTATTCAAGTGTAGTCCATGAAGGGAGATGAGTGAATTCATTTAAACAGGCACCTTACCAAATGTTCAAAAATGACAAATTCAAAGTTATTCACCCACCGAAGGATGAATGAACAGAATGAAATGTAGGACAAAAGAAGGCCATTCTGTCATTTGTTTTTAGAAGCCACCCATCTCACATCAGCTTTTTAAAGTTTTCTCCAATCACTTCTCAGAAACAGATCAAACTCCAGTCCTCAAGGGCTGAAACTTTTAAATGTGTCATTGTTGCAATAAAGCTAAATAAGCTGAATTAGCAAGACTTTAGAACTTGACTGTGGCAATGTA